ATAAATAGGATAAAAAGCTGAGCTGCTATTAGCGTCCCTATTGCCACCCTGATGCGAAAACCGTTGCTGGAGTTTCCTTTTGAAAGTTTTCGAAGCCGCGCGGGAATGTCGAGAGGATGCTGGGTTATCTTTTTTTTCTTTAGGTTTCATAGGTCTTTCAGTTGCCTTTTCTTTTTTAATGTTTTGTGTTGTAATGTACCGTGGTATTTATGTATTGTTATTATTGTCGTTGTGCTTGTTATTTTGTTGCTACTATTATTATTATGAATATAATTATTATTATCATTTGCTGTTGCATTTATTTTTTATTGCTATTATAGTCATTGATGATGTTTTGTTGCTGTTGGTATTCGTTCTAAGTTCATTATACCATCATTTTTTCCTTCCTTTCTTATTTACATGGCATTTCATGTTCCTTTTATATTAATATATTTTTCATTCTATTCATTCAGAATATTTTTTGAACAAAGCGAAATTGGATGAAATTCTGTTTTTTTTTCCTTCTAATGACATAAGGATTACAATTATTAAAACAATGCCAAGTAGGGCAATAAGAAGCAGCATATTCTTAAATATCCATAAAAGAAAATTTCTAAGAAAAAGATCTCAGGTCAGAACGGGTCATTACCACTTACGGAGGTCGACGTGTCAGCGCCCCCGGCTTCCTGACCCAAATGACGCTGGCATTTGACCTTATTTGGTATTCGCATTTTCCATGAACATTATGGGAGTATTTCTGGAGGAAGGAAGGTCAGTGGGCAAGACACGTCGCCACGGAGGATTGCATGTTCGCACACACGCGCGCTGTGTACGTTTTTATACTCACCCTCTCCTCTTCTTCTCTTCTCTTCTCTCTCTCTCTCTCTCCTCTCTCTCCTCTCTCTCTCTCTATCTATCTCTATTCTTCTCTCTCTCTCTCTCTCTCTCTCTCTCTCTATCTATTATATATATATATATATATATATATATATATATATATATATATATATATATATAAATATATAAGAGAGAGAGAGAGATACTATAATATATATAATATATATATATATATATATATATTTATGTATATATATATATATTATATATATATATATATATATAAGAGAGAGAGAGAGAGAGAGAGATACTATATATATATATATAAATATATATATATATATAAATATATGTATTTATTATTTACACACCCATATATGAGAAAAAGACAGTGTATGTATTGGATTTACAATTAATTTGCTCAACCTTTCCCTAGTAAAAAACAAAACTAAGCAAACACACGGCAAACACACCCGAAAAATTCCCACGTAACCCAACCGAGTCACGAAACGCAAGCTCTCTGACTTTCCTTTCAAAACGTTTCGAAACCGTCCGTCGATACCTGAGTGTTCGTCACCCACCTGTGGCTTCGACCTTCCCGTGATGGTTTCGACCTTCAAAAACTTGTTGGTGAAAAGCACCTCTCACATTCTCTCCTCCTCTTTTCCCTCTTCTCCCTCCCCCCACCCGTCACCAGGTATATGTGGGGGAGATTGAGAGAGATGATAAAGATGGGGGGAGGAAGTGAGAGGCGATAAATGGAGGGAGAAGAGAAAGGAAAAGGAGGTGTGTTGGTTTGTGTCCTTGGGTTCGGTGTTTCGACTATTGTTTCACTCAGGATGTTTCATTATGCTGATGAATGAACGATTTTTGCTTGTTATTTCATTCATAAGTTCCGGTTGTGTGTATTGTGTCTTCAGTTTATTATCCTTTAATGTTTTCCTTTGTGTTTCATATTTCAAACTAGAATAGGAATTTTCGGGCTGTAGATATAAGACTGAATTCCATTATATTTTCATTTTGAAAAGACCTACGCACAGGCATTTAACACTCACATAGCAAAGTTTCTCGTGACTTTTTTTTTCTTTTTGAGTGAGGCGTATTTAAAGGCCGGTGATTTATGCAAATTATGGAAATACCTCATGGGAGTGACGAGGGAAGATTTAGCATGTGTCTAATGCCTAAACATCAAGCCTTGTTCAGGTTGTCCTTCGTGTGTGTGTGTGTGTGTTCGTGTGTATTCTTGTGTGACTTTGTGTGTGTTGTGTGTGTGCGCGCGCACATGCGCGCATGTGCATCTGCATCTGCATTATTCACATTTATTTTCATTTCGCCATTACAACAAAGTCCGCACCCAAACCAGTGTTTAAAAAGACGAATTCCGAATGATATTTATCCCACCAAACTAAATGACTAAAGTAAAGGGCAAAAATAAAATTACACTAAGCCTCCCGCCAGAAGACCATCAGTCTCGCCAGGTCATAGTTTAAGGCCGCCACGTGTCTGTTAACTGCCTCGTGTATTTTTCGTGTATTTTTGCTCCATTGATAAACACGATACAGGTTTTTGCTCTCCGTCAGTGCACCTGGTCGAGGAAACGCAGGTGTGAGGTAAAGATCATTTATTCGAGGGGAAACTGTTACATATTCGACCGTCAGTAATTGTAGAAAAGATGTATTGCTTTCTGCGGATATACTTGGGTTAAAAGTTAGATTTCTAAGGAAGGCTTAAGGATGAATACTTTGTGCGTGGAAGCTGCGGTCGGAGTTTGCTATTTTGTTTAGGCGCATGTTTATCATTTCAATTCTTTTGTTAGAATGGCATGTGTCGTGTATCTTCATATATATATGTGTGGATCTTCTTATATAGATAGATAGATATAGATAGATAGATAGATATGTGCGTGTGTTTATTTTGTATTCATTCATTTGTTCATTTACTTTTGTATTCATATATCCATCTGCCTTTATTTTATTCATCTATTCTGAGAGAGAATCGTCCTTTGAATCTTCTCAGCAACGAACGTGACCTTCGCTGCTTCTCCTCATCTCCCCCTTGTCGTTTTTTAATCAAATTGTCGGTTACCTCTCGCAATCATCATCCCTTTACCCATTCATCATCGTTTGATAATGGCGAAGGCGATTCCACCAGCGAGTCGGCGAGGAGCGGGTTGCAGGCGATCGGCCGCAGAACCACAGGGCGCTTGGACGCTTGAGGACATGGCTGGGCGGCAAGTGGGCAGGGGCCGTGACTTGCGTGTTCGGTCTGGGTGGTGTGTGTGCGCATATATACTTACACTCATGGTTATAGATAAGTACGCACACAAACATACACGCACGTACACACACATACACGCACATGCACACACACACACACACACACACACATGCACACACACACACACACACACACGGGCGCGCGTTGGCATGCATACGCTCATGCAGATGCAAGTACACACTTATAAATTCATAAAAGCGCACGCGTAATTCAAAATGTATATCAGATATCGAATCACGTTTGCATTCTTCGGCTCTGCGTCTAATCATCTCTGCGATTCTCTCTCTCTCTCTTCTCTCTCTCTCTCTCTCTCTCTTCTCTCTCTCTCTCTCTCTCTCTCTCTCTCTCTCTCTCTCTCTCTCTCTCTCTCTCTCTCTCTCTCTCTCTCTCTCTCTCTCTCTCTCTCTCTCTCTCTCTCTCTCTCTCTCTCTCTCTCTCTCTCTCTCTCTCTCTCTCTCTCTCTCTCTCTCTCTCTCTTCTCTCTCTCTCTCTCTCTCTCCCTCTCTCTTCTCTCTCCTCTCTCTCTCTCTCTCTTCTCTCTCTCTCTCTCTCTCTCTCTCTCTCTCTCTCTCTTCTCTCTCTCTCTCCTCTCTCTTCTCTCTCTCTCTCTCTCTCCCTCCTCTCTCTCTCTCTCTCTCTCTTCTCTCTCTCCTCTCTCTCTCTCTCTCTCTCTCTCTTCCCTCCCACCCTCTCTCTCCCTCTCTCTCTTCTCTTCTCTCTCTCTCTCTCTCTCTCTCTCTCTCTCTCTCTCTCTCCTCTCTCTCTCTCCTCTCTCTCTCTCTCTCTCTCTCTCTCTCTCTCTCTCTCTCTCTCCTCTCTCTCTCTCTCCTCTCTCTCTTCTCTCTCTCTCCTCTCTCTCTCTCTCTCTCTCTCTCTCTCTCTCTCTCTCTCTCTCTCTCTCTCTCGTCTCTCTTCTCTCTCTCTCTCTCTCTCTCTCCTCTCTCTCTCTCTCTCTCTCTCTCTCTCTCTCTCTCTCTCTCTCTCTTCTCTCTCTCTCTCTCCCTCTCCCTCTCTCTCTCCTCTCTCTCTCTTCTCTCTTCTCTCTCTCTCTCTCCCTCCCTCTCTCTCTCTCTCTCTCTCTCTCTCTCTCTCTCTCTCTCTCTCTCTCTCTCTCTCTCTTTCTCTCTAACTCCAGCCCTCCATCCATTTGTCCCTCCCCCTCACCCCTTCCCTCTCTCTCTCCCTCACCATCATCTTCGCCCTCATCCTCACCTTCTCTTCCTCTCCCTTTTATCCAATCAGTCCATTTGTCATGAATATAAATAGTCTACACGTGTACACCTAATATCAAGGATGCTTCAGGTGTCCAGATTTCCGGTACAGAGATTCACGTCATGTACCTTTCAGAAAGTAGAGCACATGTGCACTTAATGCTTCGTTTGGTTATTGTATGATATTTTCCCACTAAGGCTTTGGGTTTTCGTCGTTTCGTTGTGATTAGGGAAATGTATAAGAACCGGTCAGTTGCATTTGAGAATAACATTGGTGAAGCAAAGGTGCTAAAATTTCCGTAACTATGAAAGAAATTATAAAATAAAAGTAAGACCACATATCAAAGGAAAGAAATAAAGTATAACCTTTATCACAAATGATGATGAAACGGAGAGGAAAATGCGGAAAGACCGAGCAGAGACCGGGTTCGAACCACCCATCCAACGTACCGCGGACAGTTCTCGGAAATCTTGTGACGCACGTGTCGAATTTTCCAGCAAGGTGCATGGGGTTCTTAGACTGTCCGTGGCGCAGTTTAAGGACAAGGGCTGTGCGTTTGGACATGGTTGAGGGAAGGAGGATTCGTGGTCCCTACATCCCTGTCCCCCTGTCCTTTCCTAATCCTGCCCATTGCCTCAGGGCGGTCAGGTGAACGAGGTCATCGGGAAAATGCTGTGTTTGTGGGGGAGAGCTAG